TACTAAGGATAAATATTTCCCACAGTGTACAGGAATATAATTAAACTTCTAAACACAAAATAAAATAATTCAAGATGCCAATAGTACAGGGGAACAAGAAAATATTTAATAAGTCATGGAGACATACAAGATAGACTTGAAACTTTGTATAAAACAGCTGAACTGAAAAACAAGGCAACAATGTGTGCCAAAGGAAAGTATCCAAAGACCACTGGAAACATTCAACGTAAGTTGCAACAAAATAAGTTCAATAAAGAGACAAGAAATGTTGAAACAAGTCCCAGCAGACATAATCTTTATGCAGGGAGTCCATGAGAATATTAAACCGACGAGACTACTTGCATCCAATCCTTCTACTTAGGTGGATCCTTGGTTTGTTGGTCTTGTCTTGGAGTACGGCTATAGTCTGTAAAAAACAAAACAGAGAACAGTTATCAAAAGGTTGAATAATCACCAGATAACCTTATGTTTTAGAAAAACCAACTACCACCAGCAGGCAAAACCCTTAACTAGGAGGAGGGTGGGACGGGCGCTATTGCTAGGTGGTTATGCTCATCCCTAAGACAAAGAAAGTTTGCAGATCATAGATTCCTGCAAACTCTGATTTGTCCTCGGGAGGCATAACCACCTAGCAAAGCTAGTGGGTAGAATAGCACACACCTGGTGGTGGTCCTAAGAAACTGAAGGCGTTCAACTTCTGATGGCCTCCAGTAAAATCTAACAAAGGTTTTACTGGACAACCATCTTGCAGCTTTTAAGATAGTAGCTAGAGGAAGGCCCTTTCCTGCTGCTTTAGTAGCCGAGGCTCCCCTAATTGAATGGCTTTTGAACACTGAAACATCAATTCCAGCCGTAGACATGGCGGAAAGTATCCAGCCTCTAATTGTATTAACCTTGGCTGGACGAAAGGGATTCCTTGATGTAATGAATAATTGACTGATATCGTTTCTAAATCCAGCAGAAAGTTGAAGGTACGATTGTAACAAACTGACTAAACATAAGCCTGGTTCGGAAGAATCTTGGACCAAGTCCAATTCTACCGGACCAGGAGAAAAATGGGATGTTTTTTGTCTGCCTTTTAGTATAATATGGAAACCTCCCGGGGTCCTGGACAACCAAGGTTCTGAAATATGGATCTGAGTTAACTCTGCTCCTCTAGCTGCCAGGGCCAAGGACAGCAGAGAAGCCAGCTTAATAGCAGTCCATCTTAAATCAATTTTAGCATTATCCAAAGACTTTAGGAAATTTAATAAGACATCTACATCCCAAGTAGATGTGTAGCGTGGGGTATATGGGCGGCAGACGGCTAACCCTTTTAGTAATCTCAAATACAGGGCATCCTGAGTAAGGTTGGGGATCAGGAAGTTTAAGGCAGATCCGTAGGTCTTGATTGAACTGACAGATAAACCAGAATGGAACTTAAGGGTAAGAAATTCTAACGCCAAAGGAATGGTATCAGATCCTTGTGTGTTAGACAGAAAAGAAACCTCCCATTCTTTGAATTCCTCGATCATCTTTCTATATCTTACCCTAGTTCTACATCTTAAAGATGAGTTAATAATATCCAAGACCTGGTCCGATAAATGGGGATGTGTTAACAGCCTACCAGGGCTGCAATCCACATCAGCTGCGGGAGCTTGAGCAGAAGATCGCTGGTTCCCTGAAAGCAGTCCACTGTCATGCCTAATGGGATCTTGGTTCCCTTGACTAACTGATGGATCAAGGGATACCAGGGTCTGGAGGTCCATACTGGGTAAATGAGAACTAAGCTCTGCACCCTGTCCCTGCGGATCTTCTCCAGCACTTTCATCAGTAAAGATGGAGGGGGGAAAGCATAAGGGGCTGGAACATCCGTCCATTGGAAAGACATTGCATCCATTTTCCAAGCTCCCTTTGTCCAGGTCCGGGAGACGAACCTGGGAGTTTGAGCGGATGTTTGGGATGCAAACAGATCTACCTGTCTCTGGCCAAAATTGCTTTCTATCTTTTGGAAAAGAGCAATCTTTAATTGGATCGTTGCCAGGGACAAACTTTGGCGAGAGAGAGAGTCTGCAAGCTCGTTCGCCTCTCCCGGAACATATTCTGCGAAAACCTGAACATTGCTTGCTAAGGCCCAGGACCAAAGATCTAGAGCCTCTAAGCAAAGACCCCTTGATCTTGTACCCCCTCTGTGGTTTATATAAGCCACCGCTGTCCTGTTGTCCGAATGGACTTTTACCAATGTCGGTGACTCGTTTAGAGGAACTAGGCCCTTGAGAGCTAATTTTATAGCTCGTAACTCCAAGATGTTTATATGGAGGTGACTCTCTTGGTCTGACCAGATTCCTCTTATGGCGTTTTGGGTTGTAAACGCACCCCAACCGTGACTTGAGGCATCTGACGTCAGAGTGACTGTCGCAGGCTGCTCTAACAGTGGACGAGGAAATGGAATTTCTAACTCCAGAATGGACTTCAATTCTTCTCTGACCTTCTTGGGGAGAACAAATTTTGATTCCCAATGGCCACCCTGTCTCAGTCGGTTCCCTAAAAACAGCTGACTTCTTCTGCAAAGTAAGGGGGAATTGTTGTATGCTGGTGTTAAAGCTATTAATTTCCCTATGATCTTTGCTAGGTCTCTCAAGGACCAACTCTGGTGCTTGAGAGATGAGTTCAGATGTACCAATAATTTGTCCCATTTGTCTTGAGGGATTCCAAGGGACATAGTCCTGGTGTTCAGTATGAAACCCAGAAAGAGGATGCTTTGAGTGGGAATTAGGACTGATTTCTGTAGATTTACTACGAATCCTAGGTCTTGTAAAAGGGAAGCAAGGTAATCCCTTTGAGAAGCAAGGGCTTCCCCATCTGGGTGCATGAGCAGGATGTCGTCTAGGTAGTATAGACACATGAAACCTTTTAGTCTGACATGAGCTATCACTGATTTCATAATTCTGGAGAATGTGTATGGTGCGTTGGAGAGGCCAAACACCATAACAGTCCACTGCCACACCTTTCCTTTCCACTGAAACCTGAGAAAACGCCTGTGTTTCTTGGCTATGGGGACTGAATGGAAGGCATCTTTTAGGTCTACTTTTATGCAGAAAAAGGCTTTCTGAACTAAGCCTGGAAGATCTGATAGACTCTCCATCCTGAACCTTTTCCTTTTGATGAAAGCGTTCAGAGGCCTCACATTTAGGACCGGTCTCCAGGAACCGTCTGACTTTGGGATTGGGAACAATGGGCTGACCCATCCTGTAATAGACATGTCTGCCAACTCTATTTTTCCATGACTTAAAGCTAAGGAAAGGGAGGCATCTAGCACTGGGTTCACCTCTCTGTGGGGTGCAAATTTCTGGACTGGGAACCTTAACAGGGGGAGTTGTAAACCCCTTTGAAAGATCTTTAGAACCCATTTGTCTGAGGAAATATCCTTCCAATTTAGTGGCATATGAGGAGGCACACTTACTTGAATGCATGGGTTTCCTTTTGGAAGCTGAACCGCCTCTGGAATGCGCTCCTCTGCCGCCGCCTGGGAGCTTATGTCTTCCACTGTAGTGGCGGTACTGGGCCTGGTGAGAGGCTTCTCGGGACGCTCCTGCAGCCCTATAGGGGCGACCCTCCGTCCGAAAGGGCTTCTTGTAGCCAGGGACGGACTTCTTGAGTTCTGAAAAGGATCTCCTTGCCTTGTAACGGCCTTTAACCTCCTGAATGAACGAGGGACCGAATAGGTAAGAATCCTCCAAATTTGGGAACTCATGCGATTTGGGGGCTAGCTCGGACAGACCAGCTGCATGGAGCCAGCGGGATCTGCGGATGTTTGAAATGTAATTAAAGGATTGGCCAATAATTAGCACTGCCCTGCCAGACGCTTTTAAAAGGGCCATCTTAGATGCTAACAGGGATGAAGTGGAAGGTTTCTGAGCATTGCCTTCTTTTTCTGCTTTATCCAGCATCAGTAATAGTGGTCCCACAGCATCAGCAATTTTAAACTGTATATTGCGAAAAGTCTGGTCTGTGGGATCAGAGGATACGCTGCTCCCTGTGATGGATAACAGCGAAGGGTCTACCTCTGGGGCCATTAGAGCCTGAATGTCCGGGATACCGATGTGGTTCCTGAGGAGAAGGTCATCTTCCTTAACCAAGGGGGATCTGAAGGCTAGTTTAGCAAAATCTCTAACCTCGGAATCGTGCTCCATAGCCCATCTGGAGTGAAATAATTTTGATGGGAGAGTCTTTCCTAGGAGACTTACTCTGGCCATCTGAACATTGCTTAGCTTCCCTCGCTCAGTGGAAGCTGCTGAACGAACCACTTCCTCGGATTCCCAGTCTATTTCTGGAGAGCCGTATCTGGAACTGGGACGGCTTTGGGAAGAAGAGTGAGCGAACGCTCTAGAAGAGGAAGGAGAGGGACTATCTAACCTCCAACGAGATTTGCCCTTTTCCTCTGGGAGGTGTTTCTGGTGCTCAAACGAGGGAAACACGCTATTCCTTTTTTGAGGTCCTGTCCCCTTAAATTTTCGCTTACTCAAACGAGTATGAGGGGAAGGAGGAGCGGAGAAGTTTTCCTCAGACGAGGAACTGGCGGAAGAGACCAGCCGTCTTCCTTTATGCTTTTTATTTAAAACTGGGACCAAATCCTCCTCAGATGATGAAGAGGATAGATCCCTGGCAAGGAAAGCTCTCTTATGGAGCTTTCTAACATTGATGGGGCTGCCTTTAAGAGAGGCATCCACTAAATCTGTGGCAGACACAGAAATAGAGTCCTCCATCAATGATGCCATTTTAAAAAATCTGAGGTAATCAGGATTCCCGCGCTCAGCATGGCTCTCCTGATTACCTGATTGGCTGAAAGGCTGTTGCTGTGCAGATGCACAGCGCGAGCCTTTTCAGCTCTGGCATTTGACTCCGGGAGGCTGCCGCATACCCACTAGCTTTGCTAGGTGGTTATGCCTCCCGGAGGACAAATATATAGAGCAGCTGGGGAAAGCGTTCCTTATTCTGTTGGAAAGATTTCTCTGATCATCATGCCTGAACCAGCCAAGTCCGCTCCCGCACCTAAGAAGGGCTCTAAAAAAGCCGTGACCAAGACCCAGAAGAAGGATGGGAAAAAGCGCAGAAAGAGCAGGAAGGAGAGCTATGCCATCTACGTGTACAAGGTGCTGAAACAGGTCCACCCCGACACCGGTATCTCCTCCAAGGCCATGGGGATCATGAACTCCTTTGTCAATGATATCTTCGAGCGCATCGCAGGGGAAGCCTCCCGTCTGGCTCACTATAACAAGCGCTCCACCATCACCTCCCGGGAGATCCAGACTGCTGTACGGCTCTTACTGCCCGGAGAGCTGGCCAAACACGCCGTGTCTGAGGGCACCAAGGCAGTGACCAAGTACACCAGCGCCAAGTAAAACCCGTCACCTTAACACTATCACAAAGGCTCTTCTAAGAGCCACCCACACCATCCACGAGAGAGCTGTGAATATATAACGAGAGCGTTTTCTATGTGCGAAATATAAAAAGTAATATATTGTTGCGTTACACTATTTCAATTTTGAAATCGTCAAGCTAACAAAACCTAACACTCCCAAGGGCAGAACCTATGATGTAACACTTATTGTGCTGGTTATAAAGTATCCTGAAAGATACAACAGCCTGAAACTATAATGTATCAATCTAGCTTACAAATGAAACGTGTTTCCATTCACACTCCTCTCTTTCGACTCTTTACACAAATGATACAATGCTGCCATCTCGTGTATACAGATTGCAATGGTTACTTTTTGTTTAATACATATGGATCAAACCAGCAATATCAATCTCAATGAATACTTTATAAATTAAAATTAGGAGTTTAGTGGGGTTTTTCCTTTCAATGTATTTACTATCAAATGTACACATTCAGAATTCTCTTCTTGGCGTTTTTAAAGCGGGAAAGTCGGTTACAAAATGGCCAAGTTTAAATCCTGCACGATATAGTCCCCCTGCTGGCTCTGTCACGGCAGCTTTTTGTTCTTCCACTTTCCTCTCCCGCCATTTTCGGGCCACATACTGATTGCAGTTTCATTGAAATTTGTGATGATAAAATGCAAATAATTTAACCCTTTCATACTCAGATGGAAACGATTGCCATATAAATTTGTATGGACTGTGATGCTTAGAGAATTAGGATTCCTTAAACTATAATTATCACAGTATAGAATGTCTAGTTTTAGGTCTGTTTTGAGGTGTATAAATTCAGTATGCAGCATGTTTTCCATATAAAATGCGGGAATGGCTGCTTCGATCACAGCAGCTTTTCTCTCCGGCCGTTTTAGATCACATACTGACTGCAGTTTAGTGCAGAAAGGATTCTAATCTCACTAACAAAGAAGACTTTAACAATCTCAGCCTCCAATGCCCTTATTTCATGTTTTATGAGAGCATTGCATTCAAACCGAAAACGAAGCAGGATATTAGGGGGAAACATAACGCCACATTATATTGATAGGAAACACATTGGAGTTTGTGTTAACGGAAGGCTACTCTGTAATTTCTCGTTCTCCAATATGTTGTAGGGAGCATTGAGACAGCCGAGCCATCCTGGTGGAATTATAGCCTTATGAGGGAAGGAGTGGGCGGCTCTGAAAAGAGCCTTTGGTTTGAATGAAGTATCGAACATCAGCTGAAACGTTTAACCTCCGAAACCGTAGAGAGTGCGGCCCTGGCGTTTCAGCGCGTACACCACGTCCATGGCGGTGACCGTCTTCCTCTTGGCGTGCTCGGTGTAGGTGACGGCATCGCGGATAACGTTCTCCAGGAAGACTTTCAGCACTCCTCGAGTCTCCTCGTAAATAAGGCCGGAGATTCGCTTGACACCTCCTCTGCGAGCCAAACGGCGGATAGCCGGTTTAGTGATCCCCTGGATGTTATCACGGAGCACCTTCCTGTGCCGTTTGGCACCACCTTTACCGAGCCCTTTCCCTCCTTTACCGCGACCAGACATACTGAGATGGGACAAGTGGAACAATGAGTGCTCACAACACGGCCACCTTCTCTTATATGTCTGTTGAGCCGACCGAGTGGGGAACTGATAGACAAATCAAACCGTCACTGGGCGGGTCTTGTGGTTGATTGGCTGATGCAGGAGGTTGTGATTTGCTGAATAGTCATTTTTGAACTAGAGAAAAAAACCGCCAGCGGGAAAGGTTTCCACCGTATTCGAATTTGCAGCTCCGGCAAGTATTCAGTGCAGACTGCATTTACTGATAAAATGTTTAATTGTTCTTCCCTTTGCTTCATACATAATAGACAAATCCTGTAATAGCACGGAATGCAGGTAAAGAGATTATAACTAAATATGTCTCGATAAATTACTTAGTTAAAGACATAATTATAATCTTTGAATTTTTACACTGATTGTATGTACGACACATAGTATCTCTTAGTTCTGGATCTAATTATTGAATTAATCAATTAACGCAGTACCTATAAATGGCCATTAGATGGCAGTGTAACATTGAAAGAGCATGCGTTGTGCTCAGTATTTCAATCTACACTTTTGTCTCCAAGTGGCAGCGTCTTTCTCCTCCTATCAGAATTAGGGGCGTGGTTTATTTCGCGAATCAAAGGCTCTTTTCAGAGCCACTATGTCCTCAAGCAAACGAACTTGTCAATCCCTTCCTCCCTGACCCTTTATTATCCAGGACTATGGAGCATGCTGTGAGGCTTAATATCGTATAAAAAAAAAAAACATTAACAATAATACAAACACTTGGAAATAATTACACCTGAAAACAGAACCACAAACTTAATCAATTTTCTATGATTTATATATGTATATTGATTTTTTTTCCCCTAAGAGCTAACTAATCATTTTCTCTCTCTCTTCCCCCACTCCTTTCCCAGTTTCAATGAGAATCATGCAATGGAATTTTCGAGGGATTTATATCAGTTTAAATGTGCATTAGAAAATTCTACATTTCTTAAGTACCCCACAAAAGTCACTTCCCCGATAGCCTGGATCTGGGTGAACAATATATCCAAAAATCACCCAGATCCGTTCCGTAGTTTTGACCGGTCTGCTACGAGGTTGAAGCCCAAAATAGTTCCAAGTAAATTGTGGCAAGAGCCGGTCTCCGTTGGTGCGGCTCTGTACAAAACCACAAAAGCGGATTTGTGTAGAATGCTCCCAGTGTGCGATGGTCTGTAACTTCCGAACATAGTTTGTATAGGTGTACTGGAACGGGCAGTAGGTCCATGATGATCGGTATTCGCAAGAGTGCCTGGCCGAAATGAGTTCCACAGAGTGAAAGTGTGATATAGCTCTAGTATCCCCAAGCATCAGCCAAAACTTGATGAAGGGTAAATAAGTCTGATTTATTCAGGCAACGGTCAGGGTCCTTGTATAAATACCTGTACCTAAGTCCCGCTGCCAGCATTCGGGAGACAAAATGGACGCCACCAATTGTCCCAACCATGTGCGCTTGCATGCACCATGTGAAGCATTCTATTAATTTCCTTTGTGGTTTTCGTACAAGATACTCAACGTTCCACATTCTAATGGGTCTCTGTAAAAATGTCCAAGTGAGTAGCTCATTTAGCAGACAGAGTAGGACCTGCCAAAGATGGAGTACATTGGTGTTGTTTCAGGCTTATGCAGTGTATGATCATATAATGTAACTAAACCCCCATTATTTTTTATTTTTTTAAATTCTTTATTTTTGTTCGTGCATATAATGACAGTTAGGTCTGTTACGCCACAACAGCGGTAAGAGACCGATATACAACAGTTAGTATCATGGCATAGGAAATACTGTGCACAATTATTAATTTTGCGGTTAGATACATGTTGGAACGATATGCAGTTATAATTAAGTTGCTTAGGGGTTAATAAAGTTACACTGTGTAGTCTAACATTGGAACAAGTAACCAAAATAAAAATTTATACAACATTCTAAGATTAACGCATATTTTCTTGTACACATAACACAGCCGTAGTGGTGAGAGAAGTATGCACTGTGAGTTATGGTGGGTTATCGAAGGCTGGATTGTATTAGTGCAGGTAGGGTGGTGTGTTCTTCTGGACGGGACTGTCATAGAGTATGTCTATGTGGTTAGGCATGTCTACCGTGTGATTGCATTGCTTGGGGGTGCATGTTGTGTCTGCTAGTTGGTAGCTTAAGAGGGACCTTCGTGGTCACATGCGCGGGGGTTAGCGCTCTCATGAGGGGAGCCAGGTAGAGGTTAACTGTCAGCTCCTGGTTACTGGGCGGGTAGTTTAGGGTGCCTGTGTGGTGTCAGGAATGCAAAGGGTAGCTCGGCATCTACCTAGTGAGACCACCCATAGTGGGTCCTAGTGTTAACGGGTGATGTGCGTATGTCGGTGGGTAAAGGAGTGCCACCCTCCGCAAAGCGGGGTGTTAGCTCATCTGGGAGCAGTAGTCCAAAGTGAGTTCATTATGTTAGGCTAGAGTCCCGGCAAGGTAAGTTATAGTCCTGCAGTTTCAAAATTGTCAGGTGGTGGCTGCTTCTCTAGGTACACCGGTGTGTCTTCTAGGGACGAATTCTGCAGTGCCGGCCATGCTCCAAGTCGGTGGGTTCGTATGCCTGCCCTTTGGTGTCGGTAAAGCCGGTAGGTCCGGTGGGAGATTCAGCTGTCTTAGTGTCGCTGGTGCCTCCTGCATGCTGCGCACTGTGAGTGTGGTGTCGCCCTTGGTGACCAGTAGAGTATGAGCCGGACCCCAGCGGTACCTGATGCGTTGTGCTCGCAGGAGGGAGGTCAGTTGTTGCAGGGACCTCCTCCAAGCCAATGTTGCCCCTGAGAGATCAGGGTAAAAGGTGAGAGCCATTTCTTCAAAGTGGTAGGCTGGTTGATCTCTGGTGGATGCTAATACTGCAGCTCTATCTTTGTAGGCTTGGAACTGCAGGACGACATCTCTCGTGGTTGTGGCTGGGGCCCCAGTGGGCTTTGGGATGCGAAAAATTCCGTCTATTGACACCGCTTTGGCAACCCTCTGGGTTAGTAGAGCCGCAAGGAGCCGCCTAATAACGTGGGGTAGTTCAGCATCAGGAATATTGTCGGTGATGCCCCTGACCTTAAGGTGCTTTAGGCGGCGTTTGTCTTCAAGTGCGGCAAATCGGAGGTCGTTCTGCCCAGCTAGCTGTTTCAACTCCTGAACCTCCTGTTGCAGCGCTTGTATTTGGCCGGTTTGGGTGGTCATGGTGGTTTCCACGGTCCCGATCCGTCCGGTGAGACTCTGTAATGTGTCTCTAATCGAGGCGACATCTGCCGCAATCTTTTTGTGATGTTCCGCCATAAGGTCTCTAATGGCTTCCATGCTCACCGGCGTGGGGGCCATAGTAGTCGGCAGGGGTTGCATTGGGGGTTGCGTTCGAGCTGGTGATGGCTGAAGCTCCCCTTCACCCTCATCCGATGTCTCTTCATAGAAGTCAGAGCACCCGCCGTGTAGGGACGCCATATTGGAGCCTGTGGCGCCTCGTGCTTGCCGCCATAACTCGCCGATATCCATGCCCCTCGTGGGTCTTTCGGGTTTGAGCTTTTTGGTTTTTCGTCCCATTGGACTCTGCTGCGCGCTGGGCTCACTCAGGGGTGAGTGTGGCACTTGTAAGAGGGTTAAAAGTGGGTTCTTTTCCGTGTCGCGGCCCGGAGCTCAGAGGGCATGCGACCGTTCTCTTCAATCGCTAAGCACCGCCCCCCCCCATTATTTTTTGCCTAGATTAGGTGTTTTTAATAAAGCTAACAAAATTGTTCAGAA